TTCCTGGTGACATCCCATGATGATGTTCCTGGTGACATCCCATGGCTCCTCCCCGGTGCAGGGAGCTGCTGGCACACGTTGGATATTCCTGGCACAGAGCTGTGTTCAGTCACCAGGGCAGAGAGCAGGGAATGGCCAGGCTGGAATGACTCTGTGAAATTCCAGTTTCTTGGCTGGGAGCCCCCAGGATGTGTGAGCTCCAATGTCACAGCTCTGATGATTTCCTCTGCCTGACCCACCTTCATCTACATTTTCTACTTAATTTGTGTCTGTCCTCCCTAATTCCCCTCTGAAGAAGGGTGGCCTGGGAATCTGCCTGAATTCCAAAAGGATGTGAGGGTGCAGAAAAGCAGGGGAAGCCACTGAAGCTGTGGAAGGAATGCTCCACCAAATCAAGTTAAAATAGATAAAACCTAATCCAATTTCATTTCACCAGTAAATCCTATTAGCATTTCCCATTACATTTTGTAAAGCAAATACTGATTTATAGATTAGAATATCGACCCCTGCTTTGAATGAACCGGTGTCTGGATTCAGTGTGTCATCTGGCAGCTGGGCTGGAACTCTCCATGTGCCACTGTCACTTCTCTCCTTCTCCCCTGCTCTGTCACTGACGTGCTTGAAGAATATTAAAGGCAGCTGCTAAATCCTGGAATTTCCAGTGGAGCTGAGGCTGCAGCAGAGGATGAGGAATGGGATGTGCTGCTCAGGAAACTGGCATTGATTTGTGTTTATTTCGAAGCGTCAGCTGTCTGAATAGATAGAAAATGTGGGTTTGAAGTGGAGTGGCGTTGTGGAATTCCCTTTTCTCAGGATAAAGCAGTTTAGGGTCAGTGTGCCTGGGATTGTACCTTGGACAGCTCCGTTAGAGCCGGAGCCTCCAGATTTGACTGGATCGAGATCCGGCGGCTTGGGGGAGGGAAAAGACAATGTAGAACTCGTTCCTGGGTGGTTTTGTGCAGTTTTTAGGAGACTTTTCCCATTTTTCCGGATGATTTCAGGGTTCTCATCTCTGTTTGTGGCGTTACTGAGCCCTCCCCAGCCACAGGCCCAGGATGGTGCCCAGGTGCCCAGGATGGTGCCCAGGTGCCCAGGATGGTGCCCAGGTGAGCAGAGCAGCAGCAGAGTTTTGCAGACCCCTTGTACCCCCCCCCAAAGGCAGATTTGAGCCCAGCTCAGCTGGTCCAAGCCTGGGAGTTGTGCTCAAACCCAGCTGCTGCCCCTCCCTGCTGCCCTGCAGCTCCTCCATCCATTCCTAAGGAACCTGCTGCTCCTGTCCTCATCACCCAGGTGCTCTCACACCTCTGACCACCCGAGCAGCAATTCCACGGGCATTATTTCCCATTATTATGGGGAATAAAGGGGCTGGGTGTCATTCCCTGGCCCCTCCTGGGCCTGACAAAGCTCCACCCAGGCCGTGGTGGCTGCTCAGCACTTACACTGCAGCCCTGCATTTCCTTCACTCAGCCTTTTAATAAGTTTTTTGAAGCTCTTTAGGCTGATTTTGTTTGTGTCAGTTTGGTTTATCCAAGTAGTCACTGCATGATTGTTCCCCTGTTTTAACCCGGAATATAAAACAAAGGATTGGGGTCACTGAACTGGTGAGAACTTGAATTTGGAGTGATTGTGTCCCAAGCGTGACAGAGCCCAAGAGTTTGGAAGTGATGTCAGAGTGACTCGTGGGGTGTCGTGTGCAGGGCTCAGGTTTGGATTCCACGATCCTCGGGGATCTCCTCCAGCTCAGCAGGCTCTGTGATTTAACCCTTTCCTTTTCACCCACGTGTTTTGTGTCCTTCAGCAGATCATCTCCATTTAGGGGCTTTATCCCCAACTTCATCCTGTGCCTCTGCACCCTGGCTGTGTGTGCTGGGAGCAGCTCCCACATTCCCTGGATTCCCTGGGTCACGGCCCTGCTCAGTCCGGAGCAGAGGGACCCTGGATGGACATCCCAGCCCTCCCACGGGTTTTCATCCATCCCTGTGGGGTTTGGGGAGTGTTCCAAAGGCAGATCCTGTGCGTGCCCCTTCCTTTCCCTTCCCGCTGGGATGCTCGGATGAGGAATTTCTCGCAGTGGGGTTTTTGTGATGCAGGAATGTGTGAGTTCCTCGTTAGGAATTTTAAGTGGGGTGTTTGTTTTCGCTTGGCCAGGCCGGGTTGTGCAGAACAGCTCCCCTCATTAGCATTTCTCCCCTCATTAGCATTTCTCCCCTCATTAGCATTTCTTCGAAGGCTCCTCGCTGTTGCTATGGTGTTTTGCATAACATTATGGATAACACTCCGATTTTACTTTGAAATCAGACATCCTGTACAAGCCACGCCGGCCTAATTATATCTGCAACCTGAAATCCCCCGGGGAAAAACA